GCCGAGCCGAGTCGCGGTTCCGCGGGCGCCCGGGGCGCAGGAGGCGCTGGGCCCCAGGTCCGACGTGGCCGGGGGAGCGCGAAGCGCCGCGGCCGGTGATGGATTCAGCTCTGGGAAGCCGGGCTCTGCTCGGTGGCCCGGGGCCTTCGGGCAGTTCTGGCTTTGGGAATCGGTTGGCCACAGAGCAGAACGAGGCCGCAGAGCAGAACGAGGCTTTCAGTCTGCAGCTGGCATAGCCGCGAAAGTTACAGAACTGTGAGGTGCTTGCGGGAGTGACGGTGACACTCGGGGTGACGTCTTGGAACGCCCGACGGAGGAGGAACAGCCGTCCTGGAGGCGTGGTTGGCGGGGGCGGCCGCGGCCGGTGCGCTGCGGGCCGGCGAGAGCCGCCTGGGGTGAGGTGCGGGCGGCCGCAGCGAGACTGCAGGGTGGGGGCCGCGGGTAGTTGCGGGCTGCTGGTTATAACCTGGGGTCTTACTCTGGCGCAGTCAGAGTCCTGGAGGGTGAGCGTGCCGCGCTGCGCCGTGCTTTTGAGGAATTAGCGCAGTGCTGAGTGAGACTGCACCGAGAGGCCTTCGGGGCTTGGTGCCAGAGTCCAGAGGGTGGGCGGCTTGTGGGGTGGGAGTTTGGGGACGGGAGGAGGAAGCGGGGAACTTGAAATGGAGTTTGTAGATGCAACCAACAGGAACTGCCGACTGTGTAGATGGAGTCAGAGAGAGGGGGTGGGGTCGCAGTGTGGGATGCCGAGTGCGCTTACAGTAAGTGTGAATTTAGACTCATGGTGCATAGTCTTTAGGGCGCGTCCCCTGCTATCGGCACAGGTTTCACCTGGGAAGTGTTTTAAAACGAATGGAAGCCGTCTCTCACCCTTTAACAGCACCTAGTGATTCTGAGGTGCAAGCTGGGCTGGGAACCGCTAGAACCTCCAGAGAAGGACGCCAGAACAGGCAGGCCGTGGCCGCAGGGGCAGGACACTGTCAGGAAGGGCGCTTCCTGTGCCCAGTTCTGTGCGGCCACGTGGCATGTCTCCGTTTGTTTTCTCCGCTGCCTCTGTCAAGTTCGGAAGGAAATGAAGGGAAGGGAAATGAAGACATTGAGGATGATTTCTGAGTGTAGAAAAGCAGATCACTTGGCCACAGTCCCCCAGCAGCCCTCCTCTCCTTGAGATTTTGTTGACAGGAGCTTGTGAATTAGAGGCCTGGTGCTGTGCCCTGCACAGGCGCCGGGAGTGGCGCTCATCTGTCTGCCAGGCCAGACCTGCCACTCCCTGCCCCAAGCGCGAGCGCCCTGAGCCGAGACAGCCACGCCCTCCCAGGCCCAGCTGCTCATCCCTCCCAGCCATGGGGTGCTGGCCCTCTCCGGGGGCTCCGTGAGGGAGGAGCTCTGTGGCCCACCTTGTCCGGTGCTGGGCCCTTTCTCAGGGGTCTCACAGGCCCAGAGATGAGTCTGGCGTCAGGTTTGCCATGCGGCCCCCACCTGCTATAGGGGGTGCGCCCTGACCCTCACTTGGTATCACTTGACTTGGAACCGTTTAACATTTTCCCACTCTGCGCTTGCTGGCAGTGTGCAGGGTTGTGGGGAACAGAAGACTCTGCTGCTTTGCTTTAGGGGCTCCCTGTCTGCAGTGGGAGAGCCACATGAATAGGAAGCCAGAGTGTAAGTGAGGCTAGCCTTGCGTTGAAGTTCTGACTCTCACGCTCATGGGACACCTTGGTCAGCCGTGTGACCTCCCTCGCCCCTGCTCTCCTCACTGCGAAGTCAGCGCTAACAGTTGCTGGCCCCTCCCCCGGGCAGGACGTGGTGGGACTGGTGTGTAGGATGAGGAAGGAAAGCTGCGGACACACGTGAGCCCCAGCAGCGTTTCTTCCTTCTCCTCCTCGCGGTCCCTCTTCGCTGACCACTTTCTCCCCTTTGCTTACTCCTCTCACCTCTGCCCACCCTTCTGTCCCCTAGCCGTCGCTGTGGTAAGATTGTTTCCCTGTCTTCCTCCCTCTGCTGTCTCCCTCCACTCTGTCCTGTCCTCACGGAGCGGCATTGCGGTTTGGGGAGGGCCTGTTGCTAGCATGCTAGGCCTATGTGTCCAAAACCAGGGTTTTCTTGCAGAATTATGCAAGGTGACAGGCACTGTTTTCCGTTTTTTCATGCTGCTCTCTCACGTTTTATTCTTTTTTGCTTTCTAAACATTCAGAGGCCTAACTGCCTCCTTTACATTAAAACTCTGGAAAGCCTTCCCAAGTGTTGTGTGGGGTGTTTAGGGTTCTGCCCTGGTTCCCCTCGGTGCTGCACCCCGCGTCTCGTGTGGCTGGGGGCTGGGAGACCCCCAGAGAAGCCGCCTCTGTCTCCGCGCGAGGCCTCCTGTCCCTTCCTGCTCTGTTGGTTTCTCCTGAAAGCAGGAACATTGTTCAAGCACTCTGTAAAGCTCTTCTGTATAAATAATAAAACTTGTGCTGCCTTGGTCATGTAACAATTGTGAAATGCCACCCAGAACCCTAAATATCACATCACCTGTGACAGGCGAACTGACATATTGGCAGAAGCCCTTGTCTGAACGAAAGCTTGACAGTCTTTACTTAGTGATTTTTCTAAACTGCAAGACATCTTTTTTCTTTGACAACCCTTCTTATATTTTTTAAAGCCATCTCTTGAATGTCTCTTTTACCCATTCAAACAGTAAATTGCTTCATATAATCTAAACTCGCTAATAGAATGCCCTTCGGCTCCGTGGCCTTTTCAAGCCTCGGAGACTCATCCTTCAGTGATTTGTGAAGCAAAACGCGTGTGAATTCATTTCAGATGAAACCTTTTTTTAAAAAAGTCCAAGGGAACTTCTAAGCTTTAGTCTACAAAAAAGTGACCCATACTTGTTTCTGGATGTTTTCCTTTGGTTCTAAGACGTGAAAGAGAAGAACAAACTACTTGTGCGGCGTGGGGAATGTGGTGGTGCCTGTGCTCCCAGGGTGAGAGCTTTGCCAGGACCTCAGCCGCGGCGCGGGCCGGCCGGGCTGGGGGCCGCTGCTTCACGGGGGGCTTTTGGAGGGTTGCTGTGTTTTCATCGTCTTCCACGGCCCCTCGGCAGCAGGCATCTATCAGGAACTCACTGGGAGTTTGGCAGTGTTTGAAATGACAACAAATAAAGCTAGATGGTTGGCCTCTTTCCTCACCATTTTCTCCTCTCCTGCAAGAGTAGGAAGCATTACCTTTTAAAAGAATATTTGCCACTCTGATCTTTACCCACGAAGCCAGGAGACAGCAAGTAGCAACAGTGTTTGGCTAGAGGCTGAAGGGGACTTGAATTCCTCAAGTCGTCTTGTTGCTGTCAAGCGTTGAGCTCAGGATCTGGTATAATCACCTGGCTCATAGGTGGTATTCAGTGAATGTTTGTTGAATGATTATTTGTGAGTGAACCACACCCACACAGTTGTTTCAGCTGATGCCATGCTTGCTGAGGGCAGCCTTTCCCATGTGGTCAGTTCACAGATGTTAATTCTGACCTGTATGTTTGTCCTTCCCAAATTACAACCTTTTACTGTTTCAACTACCAACAGGTCTTCTTTGATGTGAAGATTGGAGACAAAGATGTGGGCAGAATTGTGATTGGCCTCTTTGGAAAAGTTGTACCCAAGACTGTGGAAAATTTTGTTGCTCTGGCAACAGGAGAGGTCTGAGTTTTATTTCCTTTAACTATGCACAAAACTGTATCCTTTTAAAGAGTCAACTATAGAGATGTCTTCTAGGGAAATAAGTATGAAATTATGATGTTACTCAACTCTGTGACATCTTTTATTTTCCTATAAAATCTTATTATTTAGGTACCCAGTGCCTTTACATTTGTAAAACTGGGGAGTCAGTCAAGTGAAGATGCAGATTACTCTCTTTTCATGTAAACTAGTGCTTTACTTTTGTAGTTTATTCTTTGGTCACCGAAGGGTAAGTCTGTCAGTGAATCACTGCTGGGACCTTATCAGTTCTGTAGAGACTGTAGTTTTCTTATTTTCAGATAAACACTGGGGTTTACCTTTGAGTATAAGTAATTTCTACTTGTGCATTCACTTGAAATTATCTCTTCAGAAAGGCTATGGATACAAAGGAAGCAGCTTTCATCGAGTCATCAAGGACTTCATGATCCAAGGCGGGGACTTCACTGCAGGAGACGGCACCGGTGGTAACATCTCCTTTTGCCTTTCTCCTCTCACTTACCAAGCTGAAGCCTGAGATGAAGCCACTGTATTACCCAAAATACTTTGCTAAGACACAGAGGGAAGCGGGCTGCCACTGTGCCAGCTCGCTCAGGAAAACCCTGCTGCTCTGGCGCTGTCCTCCCGGAACCGGCGTCCTCCTCCCTGCCACACAGTCTGGCAGAAGAGTGCCTGAGCTTCACTTGGCCCCGCGTTCTGTTTTCATTCTCTCTGTCTTTGCTGCCCAGTGTTTGTGTGAGCATAGGGCTAAAATTCCCTGAATTTTGGAGAGGAAATTTTGAACCATTTCTATTTAGCATAGAGCCTTCTGGGAGGAGTTCCTGCTAGGCCACCTGGTCTGTCCTTCATCAGTCAGTTCTGAGGTGCTTGACTCTCATGGCCACTTCTGGTCCTTATAACTCAGCCAGAGGGATAAGAAAGCTGGCCAAAGGGGCAGTGGGCAGGACAGGCCATGCAGGTGTTCAAGTCCGGACAGATGCTTCTCATGGTCCACAGTTCTTCTGGAGAAGGAGCGTCTGCTGCCCCTGCTGCTTCGCCAGACTCCACGCCATGTGCGTCCCTCTGTCGATCCCCAGGGACCCCCGGTTTCTGTCACCTTCTGTGTCTGCGCTGGGGAGTTGTTCTTGATGTCTAGACCAGCTGTGGTCAGAAAGTCAGGTGTTCAAATTTTAAGTTTTATAACTGTGTTGCCCAGGGTAAAATAGAACCAAGAACACTGATTCTATAGGGGTGTTGTGGGAATAAAAAGCTGAGGACACGGGCTCAGTGCTTGGTGTACCCTGGTTCAGTGCTAAAGTCGGCGTGACCCAGGACAGGTGCTTGATCAGAGGACAAGGGTGGGGTGTGGCTCAGCACTCTGCTCTCTGGCTTTGGGGCACCATGCTACCCCTCTGCTCTCCTTTCTGGGGAGAAATCACTGACTTGTTCGATGGAGATTTGGACCTTCGAGGCTAGAGGGCGTCCGCCGTCTTGGGCCGTATGAGAAGCTTTTGTTTCAGGCTCTGGTGCCCCACGTCCTTTAAGGAGTTAACGTCTGCTCCTCACGTTTGACCATCTTTGCCACCTTCCCACCTCCTGTAGGGCTCTAGTAACTGATTACACTAAAGCCTTGTGCTTCTCTGGAAGAGTTACGTTCATTAGACGCCTGTTTCCTGTCTTCTCACTCAGGTGTGAGCATTTACGGCGAGACCTTTCCCGATGAGAACTTCAAGCTGAAGCACTATGGCATTGGCTGGGTCAGTATGGCCAATGCTGGGCCAGACACCAACGGCTCCCAGTTCTTCATTACCTTGACCAAGCCTGCCTGGTTGGATGGCAAACATGTGGTGTTTGGAAAAGTCCTCGACGGGATGGTAACTTGATATATTTTCTTTTTTAAAGCTTTACGTGGTTTGTGAAAGTACAGTCAGTTGATTCATTTAAGCTTTAAAATGGGTTGTTAGAGATCCATTATTATATGCTGACTGGCCTCTTCAAAAATGAATAAATTGTAAATGGCATGGCATTTTAATTGTTAGGGGCATTAGAGCAGAAGCCAGGGACTGGACATGGAGAAGTTAAGTAATTTATTTTACTAGGAGCTATAAATAGAAAGCCCTGTCTAATGTAACCAAGTAAAATCAGGGCTGCATGTATACGCGCAATGGAATATTAGTCAGTATTAAGAAGGAAAGACATTTTGACACATGTTGAAACAGAGCAGCCTTGAGGATCTTACCTAGGTGAAATAAGACAGTCACGAGAAGACAGATACTGTGAGTCCACTTATGGGAGGTATTTAAAGTAGTGGTTGTCAGGGGCTGGTGAGGGCAGAGATATTTGATGGATATAGAGTTTCAGGTTTTCAGGATGAAGAAATTCTAGAGGTTGCCCAACAGTGTAAATATACTTAACACTACTGAGCTGTGCACTTACAGTAGATAAGATGGCAAATTTTATGTCATGTGTTTCTTACCATAATTAAAAATAAAATATTACACCCTGAACCTTGTGGTTCAGTCCAGATACCAAGTCACATTCAAAAACATGTTTGGCAACCAGCAGTTACTAAGAGAATTTGAATCTTTGCTGTTATTCCTCAAAGAGCAAAGGATCTAATTCATAACCCATAGGAGTACTTCTGAAAGCCCTCCTTCTCCCTCTCCTCCC